CCACCGCACCAACCGGACTGCAACCTATTGTTCTATAATTGTGTCTATATTGACGGTACTCGACGAGTTAAACGTCAAAATAAAATCAAGCAGTTATAAAAGCTCCATTAATCTTCGGGCAAGGGGTCTCGGGTTGGATTCCCGGATCGGGCAAAGTATTACTGATTTTTTTTTAATTGTCAGTAGTAGCTCTGAGTTTGGAAATATGCCCGGTATATGGAAATAGTGAGCCTATTACATGGGACTCGTAACATAAATAGTGAATTGTAGATGTTACATTGTACAGTAGCATTAAGTGCTCTAAATGTGGACCTCTGCCTAAAATGATGTTATGTCTATTAATCTTAAAAAAAACTCTTTTAGAATGAAAAAAAAAACCATCTACATCAACTCCTACGAAACTAACCTCGTCTCACAATTCAATTTCAACAAAACTACACCAGGACAATATAAAACAAAGTAACTACCAACAACTGTGAATGCCACTCAATCCGCCAATTTACTCGGTTGCCATGGCGACCATTAACATGGCGGAGCTCTGGCTCCCAGTAGCTAAAACACTTGCGTTTTACAGCATCGTATAGGTCCCGACAAAGCATTGCTATACTAATTCCGATTTAACGCGAACCAATCTACTAGACAAAATAACTTCCGTACTTTACTTTTTATAGCTTTCGAATTAGGTTCTCCGGTTGAACTGTTAAAGGGTGCACTATTATTGGGTTTGAATTGTTTAAAAGATAGCTTGTTGTCTAGTTGGGTTGTGAGAACTTCTTGGGTTTTGACCTGATCGTGGATAAGAATGTTTTTGGAATAGTTGGGACGTAACTGCTAGTTATAATTACTGCAAAACAGGCCAACTGTGTTAATCTTAGTTTAATTTGGTATCAACAAAAATAAAAGTTTGATTCTAAATTCACCCACAGTCAATAAACTTTTTTTGCACAAAATGAAAAGTCATAAAATTTTAATACGTCTAAAATGATATAAGCTTTCCGAAGTAACCCTTTTAAAATTCACATAACGAACACTTTGCGGCATCCTCAATACACGTCCGAACCTTTCACAGAAGAAAATCCAATTAAAAGTAAGACAATTAGTAAATCAAGGGGCCTTTTTGCCCCAGAAGTCAGCCGTTAAAATTCGCACCTCGGTCCTGTCTGCCTTCACCGAAAACTCTTGAAACTTAACGATCCATTGATTCGGATAAAGTTGTTGTCCAAAAACCGCGTAACTGGTGGATGCCACTATTGTGGGAGCCACAATGGGCTGTTACCTGTAATGTGGACTGCTCACTGACGAAGGTGACGTGTGAACAAGAATAATGGCGCCGAATTTCCTCGTTGTTCCACTGACTGTTCAATTTTGTAGGGATTTCGAGTGAAGAACAGTAAAAACTCATTCCATGTCTGTATTACTCTGTATCGCCTTTGTCAACACATTAAGTACCCAATCCTCAATTCAACCGAGGTTTAAATATGATGAAAATATGAATAAACTTCATTTTTAAACTGTTACGTGAGCCGACCAATAATAAAAATAGACGATAACTCAGTGTGCACGGTTCCCTATAAGCTCGATGGTTCGAAAATTGATTAGCCGACAAAAAGCAGGCGACAATCGACGTCGGCCGCACGTGTATGTCGGTGCGAAAAAAAAAACCGCGACGCGACACTACGCGCGGATTTCCGAAATGGAATGCAAAAAAACGCAGACCGGAAAAAAATGGCGATTGAAAATTTTCCAAAGGAATTTATAAGCGCAAAAAGCGTGGATTGTTCTATGGTCAGGATGACTACAGATATGTTTTACGATTCGTTTTTCTGGTATTTCAAATTTAAATTGTTGAGATTGGGCACGTTGTGACTAAAAATAAACTGATAGGTTCAAAATGTAGTGTGATTTACACTACTCATAGTGTTCAGATGAGCCTCGAAGATTGAAAGAAACGATTTTAACAAAATATTATTTTAGCTTGTTCTTTATATCCCACGCTATCCGTTTCTTCCAGCCGATTCGTTAGACCACCACCATATACCCCACATGCTCCGAATGTGCTAAACAATTAAACTCAAAATGGATCAGACGAAGCGAAAGCATTTTACGCTGAGGTCCCGGGTTCGAGACCCGTATCGGGAGAAATATTTGACCTACAGATTTGTAGAGAACCCGGATGTTTGTGTACGTGATTTGTATCCAGTATTTTATGTGGAGAAGTGAATAAGTAGGTGCTTATACAGTACTAGTTTTACGAATGGGATATACTTGAGAGTAATTATTCTCGTAGAATATTCTAGAACAAAACAAATGATTTAAAGCTAAGCAATCGTTAAGGATAAGTGTTTTGGGACATGACTTTCGTTTCGTCGTAAATTCCTGGATAGACTAGTGCTGTGAAGTTCAATCGTTTAACAAAATACTCATTTTTTCTTTGTTTACTCTTGTTTTAAGTATTTTAGTTATTTAGACTTTAAAAACATTTTAGTCTACTCAACTTTTCGTGATAATTTATATTATTTTCCTCCGTATATCAAACACAAACCTCTGATGATCTATTAAGGAGGATACTTCCTTATCTAAAACAACGGGACTGAGACCTACAATCCTTATCAACGAGCTGCAGCATCGCTTCAAATCGCATGCAGGGAACGTGTTGAGATTACGAAACACCACTCTGCATAATTATATTGGTTTACCTAGTGGCTGCTAGCGAATATCTCGGCGCTTATGTCCGTTTATTGAAATGAGAGGATTAATGTATTCATTCAAGTTAATGATGCTCGTCCTTATGACTGTTATATTTAAAGCGGTAGACAGAGGTGTAGGGCGTATATTTTTATTATTTCTTCGCGTTATACAAGCAAGGGATAATAGGAGTTGAATCTGTTGACTAGCTAAATCTTTGTAGACACTAAGTGAACAAAAGTAGGAAAGAACATTCAAACAATAATTTTAATAAAACTGAAAAGACCTGTGTCAAAGTAGTATGTGTGATATCTTAACAGTGGTTGACCATCATATTGGCAACGGGATCAGACATGCTACAAATAAGGGGCTACGTAACCACTTATGTCAATCGTTCCGGTAGACGCAGCATTGCAACATAGTATATTATTGTACGTGTTAGAAATCGAATAGAAATAATGAAAAGGCAAAAAGCAATCGAAGAGTAACGCTCGACGTAAGGGCGAGTACACACGCGCGATATCGATCATCGCGCAACGCTCCCACGCTGTCGCGCGACAAAAACCCGCCCTCATTAGAATGCAGCGCGCGACAGACGCGCGTCGCCGCGGCCCTGCAGACAATTGCGCTTTTTGACCGCGCACCGCCATCGCGTATACGAAATTCGAATTATTTTTAAATGAATTGTTTTCAAAAGAGTACGTACCGCGGTTTTTGTTTGAGAATAATGATATTGTGGTTGAATAGTTGCGGGGCTAAGGCGAGGTGACAATGGGCAGTTACACGACTCGAAGACTGGGGAATTGAAGTGATTACAATTATCGATAAAGTGCAAATGTTGTGGACTGCCAAATTCTGACTGGAGACAGAAAATGAGATTCGAGGTATCTTTAAGATCCATGGAATTGAAATTGGGAAGCTTTTTTAGAAGTCCAAGTGTGTGTTGTTCTTCTAAATCGCATTTTGATTGTAATAAAATTCAATTATAAATCTTTTAGTCCTTTCAAATTCACAGCATTTCGTAGCCTTAATTACTAGTCTAAAAACCTTAATAAAAAGGTCACTAACCTTTTACAGACTATTCAATAAGAAAAGTTCAGTTTGATTTCGGCGGCACACGAAAAATGTGGTTACCTTTATACAACTTAAAGATAACCTGTGTTTAGTTGAGGTACAATTAAAGTCAACTTAAACAAAATAATAAAAATATATTAAGATGTACTACTACCTATAGAGAGACATATCTTTAAGATAGAGAAAATAACTAAGTGTAGTCAAACACTCAATTCCTGTCTTCAAAATCTGCATCTGTAACAAAGTACAGTCGCAGCAAAAAATAAGCATTTCCTATATCTAAGATCTTGGTGCGGGTAATAGGCGAATCCGGCACGTGTACCGGAATGCCACCGGTTCATCCGGCACGGCAGTGTAATGGCTCAGACCGGGGGGCGCCGGACTTCGCAGAAACGTACGGGAGACATCCTATTAGAAATTATTATGGATGACTGTACTTGCGTGTGCGCAGCGCTTAAGCTTCAAGTTTAATGGATTAATTAGTTCATGGGAGCTTGTTGTTTATTATGATTTAAGGTGGTTTTTGATGAGCCATTTCGTTTTTATGGTGTGTTTTTGTTTGTTTGGGGCTTCACACATGATGATATTTTCTTTTTCAATCTCTTTGACTGGATTTAGGTGTTGCATTGTTCTCACACAATGGAACCAATAAAACTATGTAACTAGAGAATTGTATTGTAAACCTGATTGTAAAAGAGTAACCTATGGAGTTGCTAGCTCGTTCTTCTCCATAGGAATCTACACCTTGGAATGAGCAACTAGCTTCACTTCTAAATTTTTAATGCTAAAAACTACTTCAATACGTATAGATATACTTACTACGGCAAACAAGTCTTATCAATACATTGTAAAGAATTCTATATTAATTTTCTTAAATCCATTAAATTCTCAACATCGGTATCTTATTGTAGAGGTTTAATTACCAGAACTCAGTGCCAAGTTCAAATGTGCACTTTTATGTGAGAGAACCTATGAGTGTTTCGTACGGCCGTAGATTGATTAGGTGCAGTTAGGGTTGCTAAGTGCTTTTGTATTTTTATGTCACGCGGCGTAAATAACCTATTTTTCTTTTTATTTTCTAATAATTTTGTAATCAGCCTTTCTGGTGCTGTTATAAGAAATCATTAGACGAACTATTCTTCTAAGCAACCCACTTGTCGTTTTGCCACTTCTGAACCAGAAATGTGTGATAACTGAATGCCCTTTTGTTTTAATTTTATTTTGTTTTCTTTGTCGTTTAGGTCTTTGGTAACGACTTCGATGGCAGAAGCAGACATAACCCCTTAAACGATTCCCAACTAACACGCTGTATTAAACTGTCTAGTCCAGTACAGAAAACTATCAAATTAGAAAGTTCCACTCATCAGGTATGTGCATTGAATTTAATATAGTTATGGGTTACCGAACTGTATGGGTTTCTGGACCTATGTATGTATTTGTATCATGTGTATTGCTTTACTCATCCCATCTATAAATAAGAGTTTTAACGGTCCTTGAATATAAAATCTTCTATCCATTCTCTTGATCAATTCCCACGTACTTGTGACATGCCATATTTGTGGGAGATTTTGTCCATCAGGCAGCCCTAGACGCAGTTTACGACGCGTTGATAAAGGTGTCCAGAGTTGTATGTCGTTGCTCAGCCAGTTTAGTACAATTCCCTGAAATCTAAGAGATTGATTGATCAACACTATTTTAGAAACCCAACTGGTTTAATGTTCATCGCTTAGGTGTAAACAAAAGGTTTAGATCGTAATAAATATTTGAGTTTTCCTGTGCGAAGGATTGATTAGTGAATGAAATATTAATGTCATAGATGTATCTATTTTTCCAAGTTTTATGATTGTCGTAATCTGAAATTAATAGTATTGTAAATCTTCATTAAAAAGTTTCTGCCTAGATTTTCTTACAATGTTTTAAAGTAGAGTGTAAGAAAATGGTGCTGAAGATTTTGGTGTCTAAGGAACGGTACTCACTGTCACTTGACTACCCTTGAATATCTCAAGAATCTCGATTGCACCGATACCTTTTGACCAGTTAATAATTTCAGGACATCTTACTTTCCGTATTTTAAAAACGTACTTTTTACTCGTTGCCTACCTCGTTGGCCGAGTGGTCGCAATTACGACTGCCGGGCAAGGGGTCTCGGGTTCGGTTCCCGGGTCGGGCAAAGTATTACTGGGTTTTATCAAAAATCTTAGTATTAGCACGAAGTATGGAATTGTGCCTGGTATATGGCAATAGGCTCACCCCCTATTACATGGGACTCATAACATAAATAGTGAAAAGGGGTTTTACATTGTACAGTGACATTAAGTGCCGTTATGTACAATTCTGCCTACCCCTTCAGGGATAAAAGGCGTGATGTTATGTTGTTGTACTTTTTATTCTTTTACCTCTAAGACCAGAAGCCTTTCTAGCACTAATTAAAACCTTAAACGTTCCACTATACATGAACTCTCATTACTTATACCTTCAACAAGTGGTCTCAAAAAAGTAAGAAAAGTAAAACAATAAAATAATCAGTTGTGGTCTCTGGTCGCGCGTGCTCTCTGGTCGTGCCCTTTGTTATGATCGCTTTTTATACGGCCATCTTTTTGTTATCTGCGATGCACCTACTGTGTAATGATTATGTACGTTTGTACTGGGTGCATAAGAAGACTTGGGTGAATAAAGTCATATCACGAGTTTAAACTGTCAAACACCAAGCGGTCACCGGTGACCGCAACCTATTGTTCTATAATTGTGTCTATAATGACGGTACTCGACGAATTAAATAATGGTTTTTTTTTGAGGGGGGAAATCATCCAATGACTTCTTCCGCCCGGGTGAGGTGAGAGGGAGTGTCAGACTCTTACTGAGTAAAAACCACCCCGTCCCTATTCCTGCACTTCGAGCCGGAGCCCCGGCAACCCGTTAAGCCGTCCTCAGGCCCGTGCTTACGGTGGCCGGAGGTCGTAGTTAAATAGGTGCCTGTGTTTTGGATTACTTAAGGAATATAGCTAATTTAGGCAAATCCATTTATCAATACGTAAATTTCCACTTAACTCGCATTATCTTTTCTTAGCATGTGCCTACGAGCATGCATGAAAGGACTGATGACTGTTGAGGAAGCGAAAGAGGTATGTTAAAATCGTAGCAATTGGCATTCCATAGTTTCTGCCTACCGCCATGGGAGACATGCCTGAGGTTACGTATGTATGTATGTATCTTCCCTCATGAGCAGTTTCTTTGCATCTAAAAGACCATACAACAAGTCGCGACCGAAATGATACTTTGAACACACTGACCAAGTAATGACGCGTTGATAACATCTCTCTAATCTATTCAATCTATTCAAAACAGAACACCCTTTAAATAATACTGTTTCAATTAAAAAATACAGAGAGATTGTACTGAAATAATCGGCTTTCATAAAACGAATCCACGCGTGCTTTAGTAATTGTGAAAATACATACTCATTGTGTTCGGTTAATTGTCGACACCCGTCACTTGTTTACATAATTCCATTAAAAACTGAAGCCTTTTATTTATGAAGAGTCCGTTTTCAGCTTATTTGATGAAATTAACTCTGAATACGTGTTGACGTATTGTGTTTTGTTTGTTAGGTGTGTTTGAAAGGTGTTTCTAGGATTTCGCGCGGTTGATGCTAGTTTATTTCATAGAAGATACTACCTATTTTCGATTTAATTTTTTTTTAAGAATGGTAACACTGATCATGTTGTTCTATTTTTCTCATTACTAAGCTTTCAGACGGGAAAATACTTCGTCTTTAAGTTATTTTCAAAAATACATATCTCATAAGCAACGCCTTTTAAATAACAGTTATTTATTTATTATAAAAAATCTTCCTACACTCTCATTACAGAATTTTTCCCAAGTAGACAGTGAGGTTTAATCTAGTGGAAAAAATATATATACCTCTAAAGTACTAAAAGAACTAATACAACGAAAAGAAAAAAAAATATATAAAACACAATAACAATAAAGACGTGCTTGCAAATTATACATATTACATCTAAACCTTTGTATTAAACAAAAACTACTTAATTACCTACCTTACATATTAACTTAAACCAACTTAAAATTACATAACCTAAAATATGATATGAGAAACTATTATGACTGAAAATAAATGACAGTACTTTTGAGAATTCACTCGAAGAAGTTGTACATATAGCAATGCGAACATCAACCCATTATCTATCTCTTGGATCTAACACATATTCCTATTCCTCCTCAATGAACATAATTCATACATTTCCCACAACGGAACCCAAATCAATAAATCCCCATATCTTCCCCAAATGACTCAAATTACTCTGCTGTCCCTACAAATTAATTAATACAGTATTTACGTGAGTCCTTTGTCGTGTTTAAAGGCGACCCGCCTGCAGATCATGCTTAAGGCTAACATTGTTACTGGGAATCCATATTGTTATTATTGTCATAAGTTATTGGAAGATTTTCAAATTGCATCATCGTAAGAGATTTAAAATATTGATTGAGTCCTCCACGTGTATCTCAGATTTCAGAAATTACTTACATAATTATTAATTTCAGAAATAATTTTATGTGTGGAAGAGCCATGCTTCGGCACGAATGGGCCGGCTCGACCGGAGTGATAACACGGTCTCACAGAAAACCGACGTGAAGCAACGCTTGCGTTGTGTTTCGTCATGTGAGTGAGGTTACCGGAGGTCCAATTACCCTCCCCGTCCCCAATCTCCCCAATCCCTGAATTCCCAATGATCCTCAAATTCCTAATCCCTAAAAGGCCGGTAACGCACTTGTAACGCCTCTGGTGTTCCAGGTGTCCATGGGCGACGCCGATTGCTTACAATCAGGTGATCCGTCTGCTCGTTTACCGGCTTATGCCATGAAGAAAAGAAACCGAGTTTCTCTTAAACAATTAGCTTCATTACGAGAAGTAAGCGTGTCTTTTAGTAAAACTTCTTGTGTTTCATCTTATCCTAAGTTGCTGAACCTAGTCCAATATTTTTCTTATATTCAGTTCTACCGTTATCATGTCTTGAACTCCCTCTTTCATATTACACTATCTGTCCATTATTCATCGAGATGTATCAAGAATTTCACAAGAGACGAAAACAATGACGCAATTAAACAATATCCTAGATTATGTGATACCTGTGGTGTTGCAGGTGTACCTGTGTAGACTACAGTGAACCGTATTAGATGAACCGTAGCGATGATTTCAATTCAATTCGTACAAAATCTTATGTCATTCGAGTTACATAAAATTGTCTTCAAGTACCTACAACTTGTCCTTAACAAATATCAAAATCGTTATCTATATCTGTACGACTTATCTGCTGAATATTAATAATGAGATACATGATACATTGTATTATTCCGGTTTGATCTGTAGAGGTACTTTCGGGTGTATTTCGATTTCCCTTCATTTATTTGGGGCTACCGATTTCTTTTACATTTGGTTCTTTACTTGTGTTTTGTTTATGTAAGTAGCGATCGGGTGATTTTCATGTAGTTTTTGGTGTCTTGCTTGATAACTTAATTTAACCTGTAGTTAATGTGGCTGCACTGCGTAGATACTAATCCTGGATGGAACGGAATTTACTAGAGATGAACAATTTATTAATTATGTAATCAAAGTCACTTATTTCAATTAGAGTAGGAAGGCATTATTGTACGTCAACTGAATTTGAATCTAAAAACTAAACTATTATGCTGAGTTTAATTTACACCACGACAGTGACAAAAAAAGTACACGGCCCACCTGATGGTAAGCGGTTACCATTGCCTATGTACGCTTGCAACACTTGGGGCTTGGGTTTGAGAATGATGCCAAACACATCTGACACAAACTGGCAACACTCCTATAATACAGAATTTCTGGAAATGGGACAACGCCTTTTTTGATGTAAAATTTTTAATGGCCATTTTTCCTCAAGTGATTAAGCTAACTAGCTATGCATTTCGTTTCTTCGGAAATGAACCTGATTTAACTTTCACTTTTACCCCATAAGGAAAATATATTGTAAACATGATTTTTCACCATTAAAAACTTTGGTTACGTTTCATGAAATGATACGCAAAAATGGCGAAGGGGTCTTCCCTTTAGGAAATAACAGACGTGATGTAATTTAGAAAACCTTTATCTTATATATATTATATTTAAATAAAATAATACAATATTACTAGCTTCTTCTTCTAAAGAAATTAAACCATTTATGAAGAAGACTCCGGACTCTCCTCCCAATCTGATATTTGAAATTGGTTAAGCAGATGAAGCTCAAAACAATAACAAATAAAAGTAACTTGATTTCGCATTTGTAATAGTATTACTTTGGGACAGTTGTAAAAAGTAACAATTAAAAATGAAATG